CAGTTTGCCCCAGTTGTGGCCAGTCTGGAGACTGGCACCTGGCCCGGTGTACAAGGCGTGCTCTGACTGCCTTTTTCCATTTGGCAAGATCTGTTGGACCAGTCCAGCCTTTAAAGAAAACAAGGAAAACTCATCCCTCTCCCTGGCCCCTCCTTTCCACATCTCATTCTTTTTTTTTTTTTTTTCCCCTCAGTTTGGCAAATTGGTGCTTTCTGGCTGGGGGGATGGAGAGGTGTCAGGAGCCCACCCAGGGGAATCTGCACAGCTTGGAAAACAGCAGGGAGAGGGCCAAGCATCCCCGTGCATGGCTGGGGCAGCAGCTGGTTCCCCAGGGCAGGATTTGGCCCTCGAGGTCCCTACAGATGGGGAATGGAGGAGGAAGAAGCCCAGCTTGGTGCTCAAGTCCTGCTGCAGGTTGGCAGTTCCAGGTGTGGGGGGCCAGTGGTAGCCACCACCACCGTGCCATGGCCCTGGTTCACAGGGTCATGCTTGGGGTCAAGTCACCCCCCAGCAGGTGCTGCTCCAGGGGGGAACCCAGGAGGTGGCCGCAGATGGGAGCTGGGGGAGGACAGAGGCAGACAGCAGAGACAGCAGCTGGCCCTGCTCACCCAGGGCAGCGAGACATTCCCTGGCCCTGTCCCAAACTGAGCCTTCTGGGAGGGAACAGTGTTCCCTGGCAGGGACTGGCTCCATACAGACCCCACTAATTCCCATTCACCCCCAAGTCCAGCACAAAACCTATGAAGCCTAAACCAGCCCCTGCACAGCCTCAGACCCCCTCCCTTGGCACAAAGTCTGCTAAGAGCCAGTGCAGAGCCCTCTGTGCAGCTCCTGCTGTCCTCTGGCCAGTGTCCCCAGCACAGACCCCTCTGTGACTGGGCACAGACTCCCCAGCGCAGACCCTTCCATCCCCCAAACCCAGCACAGATGCCAATAACCACCAGCACAGCCCCACTAACCCCTCAAAGTTACCCCCATGAAGAGACCCCGTTATTTGCCAGCACCATCCTGGCTCAGACCTCACCACCCTGGAGAGCCAACAGCCCCTGCTCCAGACCCAGCTTCACCAGAGCTGTGACCCTGCGAGTGTCCCCCCATACCCAAGGGACAGGGGACCCATCTCTGTCTGGTGGACACATCCTGCCTCGGGGACTGGTCCCTGGCGGCTGCTCAGGAGAGGCTGCAGCCCCACACGGCAGGTTCTGGTTCCCTCCCCAGCAGCAGCTGCTAATTCAGTGCAGCTGGGCAGGGGCTGGGCATGTGTCTTAAATCAGGGAAGAAGGTCAAAGAGAAGTAAGACAGGAGCCGAAAAAAGCAGCAGTGAGTTCCAAAAACAATACTTGGCCGGGGCGGTGGGCGGCTGATCTTCCTTGGTGGCCGGTTATCCAGACGAGCCCTACAAATTGCTGCCATCCCATCCCTCCCCAGGCAGCCGGCAGCAGGGCTGGCCTCAGGGCTGGGCTGGGGGGCACTGCACCATTGTCCACATCCCTGCTGGGCAGTGCCATCCCGGGTACTGCTGCAGGGATGTCAGGCAAGAACCAGGTTATCCCTCCTGTGGGAGACAGCACCCTTGGGTGCTGCTTGCCCTCGCTGTCAGGGTCAGGGGCTGCTCAGTGCCCTGACACAGGGAGGCAAGTACAAGCTCTGGTTCCTGGGGGGCTCTGAGCAAACACCAACTTTGCCCCACCATCGTGGCAGTGCCAGGGATGCTCCTCAGGAGAGGCTGCAGCCCCACACGGCAGGTTCTGGTTCCCTCCCCAGCAGCAGCTGCTAATTCAGTGCAGCTGGGCAGGGGCTGGGCATGTGTCTTAAATCAGGGAAGAAGGTCAAAGAGAAGTAAGACAGGAGCCGAAAAAAGCAGCAGTGAGTTCCAAAAACAATACTTGGCCGGGGCGGTGGGCGGCTGATCTTCCTTGGTGGCCGGTTATCCAGACGAGCCCTACAAATTGCTGCCATCCCATCCCTCCCCAGGCAGCCGGCAGCAGGGCTGGCCTCAGGGCTGGGCTGGGGGGCACTGCACCATTGTCCACATCCCTGCTGGGCAGTGCCATCCCGGGTACTGCTGCAGGGATGTCAGGCAAGAACCAGGTTATCCCTCCTGTGGGAGACAGCACCCTTGGGTGCTGCTTGCCCTCGCTGTCAGGGTCAGGGGCTGCTCAGTGCCCTGACACAGGGAGGCAAGTACAAGCTCTGGTTCCTGGGGGGCTCTGAGCAAACACCAACTTTGCCCCACCATCGTGGCAGTGCCAGGGATGTTCAGACCCCTCTTGGACCCATTGCAAGACCCCCCAAAAACTGTGTTCAGAAACCCCTACAGCCCCTGGTGCCCCCAAAACGATCGTGCCCCCCCACACCCTCCCCAGGATTACGAGCAGCACCGAAAGCCGATCAGCCCTTCGCCAACTTTCCCTCCTGCCCAGTTTATCCCGCGCCGAGATGCCGTGTGAGTTAAGCGGCTTTAGCGGGGCCAGGCGAGGGCGGCCGGGGGGCACCGGGACAGCTGGTCGGAAGGCTGGGATGGCTGCAGCTGGGTGCTGAGGGGACAAATCAGAGGCCTTGGGGACCATCCTCATGCCCTGCATCCTGGCACAGTGTGGCCAGTGAGCCCCTGGGCTGGGCACACCACCTCTGCTGACACTGGTGAGCTTCACCTCATGCCCAGCTCTGCTTCAGGAAGCAAAGGCAGGGATGTGCTTCCCATCTGTCCCCAACCCTGTCCCTGGTCCCCACTGTCCCTCCATCCCAGCCAGCAGCACAGTGTGCTGGCAAAGGGCTGGTTAAAGTGTTTCTGCTGCTGTTTTTCCTTTGCAGGGCTGGGAAGCAGAGACGTGCTGCAATACCCCAGACGAGGCTGCTCCCGGGGCATTTCCGGATGGGAATCTGGCAGCAGAGCCTGTGCTTGGGCCCCATCCAGCCCGGGCTTGTAAAGCCCCGTGACCCAGGGAGGAGCACGCCTGCGTCGGGGTGCTGCTGGCCCCAGCACAGGGCCCCCCTCACCTCCTGCTTCCAGGGACTGGGGGAGCACTGGCTTTCCCTGCCAGATGCTGCGAGGGGAAACTAAGGCATGGGTCAAGCCTGGCTGGGTCTTGGCGTCGGTCCTGATGTGGAGCAGGGAGGGAAGGAGTGATGCTCTGCCTGGAGCAGGGCACATCGTGCCAGGATTAACTGCGCCAGCAGCCTGGGTTTTCACAGCCTCCCCTCATGCTCCTGCTCATCCCTCACCAGTTTGTCCAGTGCTGGGGCTCTGGACTCTGGGTGCTCGGCCGTGGTGGGTGCCACCCACCCTGGGGACAATGGGGGATGCTCTGAGCCGTGCAGGGACACAGCACCAGGTGTGGACACTGCGGGTGGGCACCATGGCATGGGCTGCCCAGGCCTCCAAGCATCCTCTGCTCGAGTGCCTTGTCCAAACAGGTCAGGCTCAGTGAAACAGCCTGGATTTTCCAAGGAAAAAACGTTTCCTCAGGAAATTCCTGAGCAGTTTTCACTGGGGGGGTGGGGGGGAGGGTAGAGGAGGAGGACGGAGCGGACAGTCACCGCACCAGCAGGTTTTGCTCCCCCATCAGCATGGCCCTGGCCCCAGGGAGGGGCAGGATTCCACCCCCAGTGGTCCCCTTGCCACATCCCAGCCCACCAGGGACCACACAGAGTTTCTTTTCTGAAAGGATGCTCAGCTCCCTCCCCCGCCAGGCAGCCCCACACCCCTGCACTGCTGCTGGCTCCCACTGCTGCTCCTGCCAGGCCCTGCCAGCCCAGGCAGGGGCTGGCAAGTTTGGTGCTGGGGGCCATGCCCCCATGGGAAGCCTTGGCACAGCACGAGGGGGGGATGCACTTGGAGATATTCCAGTAATCCTGAAAAGCCCAAAATCTCAGTACTCAAGAGGGGCACGGTGGGGACTGCCTCCCCACCTCAGCCTTGGTTTCCCCCTTGCTGGAGCCCGTGGGTGCTGTTGGCATGGATAAAATGCCCCAGCAAAGCCTCCAGCAGCCTCTTCTTAACTGTTTTCTAAAGCTGCTCTGGGTAATAAGTTAACCTGGTAATGAGACCTGTTGCTGAGATAGATGCGAATGATTGGGAAGTGCTCATTAGAGGGGATGGAAGAAGGCACTTAGGCCC